ATTGTAGGTACACGATGTGTGTGCCTGAGGAACAATAGCAAAATAGCTGGGGAATATTTGCTGCCATGAAAAAAATCGCCATTCATTAGTGCTGTCTGTATTTTTAGGATAAAACAGATTGGAACCAACTCCTGAAAGGAGTAAAACAGGTACAAAAGCTTCCTTTACCTGCTTCTCCTACCTCTGGATTCCTACTCTACTGCTCTGCTCCTAGGACACTGATACAGCTAATCCTGCAGCCTCTGCTGGGCTTGGTCTGGGATGACATTAACCGAGTGCACTGAGCGGAATTCTCATGGAAAACAACTTCTGAAATGGTCTGTTGTTAGGAGTTCTGAGCTTTTAAGCAGATCTGTTCGTGTATCTTTTACAAATGCTTCCCCAGCGTCACCTGACTTCACTGTCACTGCCTTCAGAGTGACAGAAAGGATCTGTGTTTGAAGGGAAACACCTTGCACTTCCAACTCGAGTGTGACATGATCCCCCGTGATGGCTTTGATGGGATTTTCCTTTCCATCACTTGGAATTCCATGGGGAAAGTCCTGCAGGCCAATGTTACACTCAGCAGGCATTTTGAGAGAGGCTGGCAATCAGGTACTCAGTTACAATTACTGTATAAAATGAAATTATCAGGAAGTTATCAAATTCTTGGTCACAAGTCTAACTACGGTGATGCAGCCCACAGGCAACCTTGGAAAAAGGAGAATTTGGATGTTTTGTCGTTCCATTTGTCATGACCTTGGCTGGGGCTCACAGACCACCTATCATCCATGACTTGGTCAGCAGAGATGTACTGACAGCCTCAGAGGGGCTCTGCACATCCCCTGGGTACAGGCAGTGCAGGAGGCAGGCAGAGCCCTGGATTTCTGCAAGCTTTGCACTTGGATTTTAAGGGAAAACGCTGCCAGTGAGCTGCCACCAGAACCTGGCTCGTGGAACACCCAAAATACACAGGGGGTGTGCTGGGGTGGAGAGCTTCACTCCCTGCCATCAGGGAATTTGTTTTCAGCTGGGAAAGATTTATTAATTGTGGTGGTTTGTTGTAGAAGAGAGGGGATTGAGCCAGAAGAGATCTAGTGCAGAAGGTATTTTCCTTTTGGATGGATGTTGTGGGGTTTAATGCTTTGTTGTATCTGGATGTGTTTGGGATATCTGGAGTTCACTGAGCTGAACAGTTTCCAGATCCTCAGCACAGAAAATGGCCTTTTCACTTTCAGCCTCCTTCCTGATGGTCCCTCAGGGCGTGCAGAGGCCTCCCAGATTTCAGAAATACCCAAAGCTGAGGTCACCTGCTGAGACTGAGGGCATCTGCCAGGGGTGTGGGGCTGCCATGGCCCCACTCAGCACAGCCTGTGGGGTGTGGTGGCATGGAGCAGGTCCCAGCCAGGGGACACTGCTGCCCTGGGCACACCTGAGGAGTCCTGTCACCCTGAGAATCAGGCCTTTCGATATTATTTTCATAATTTCTAGCCACTTTCCCGGTAAGATAACTATAAACATAGGTGTTTATACATTCCATTAAAGATTTGCCTTTTGATGGACGTCTCTCACATCCAGTGTGCTTGAGAAGGTGGTGACCTGACTATCCAACCCCTATAAACACTGAAAGAACAAACTAAACTTCCTTCTTCTTTCATCACACTTCAAGCTGTGTCTGTGTTGAATCATTTTGTGTCCGACAGAGTCCCACACCAAGCTGGCCTTGGAGCTTCTTCTTCCACCCTCTCCTCCTTCCTCACACTGAAAACTTTGTCCCTGCTCCTCCCTGGAGGTTCCAGTGGTTCAGAATGTGAAGGATTTGGTCCTCAAGATCTGAGCAGCCCTTGCAGATGTTTCCAAGGCTTGGAGGTGATCCTCCACCCTTCTCTCCCCGGCAGCTGGGCTGACTTTGCCTCTCCAGCATTGGTATTTAAAAGACTTTCAGATGTGTGTGGTCCCTAGAAAAATAAATCTCCAAAGGAAACAAATGTTGTGGTGAAAGTCTGCCAAGTCCCCACTGCTTATTAGCTCGTAGTATTATGTAGGAGGAACTTAACTCTATAGCCTGATACAGGATAAATCTTTGATGAACTCCCAGCCCTTTTGAAGATTGAGATTTAAAAGGATGTTGCTCTATAGGGTCGAGATGGAGCCATTGACTTGATGGGATTTCTGCTGTGAGTGCCTTGACACACTTGTCAGACCCCTGCAATAATAATTTGTCCTTTCAGAGATTTTTTGTGTTTAGGTTACATCAAGCAGAGCTTTGACAGCGGTGATCAGGGATGACAATTTCCAAACAGCCCAGAACAACAGAGGGTGAAATGAGAAATGAACATGTGCTTCTAAATAGACTGACTTGAGGATGTTGATCCAGGACTTCCTTCAAACCCAGAGATCACTTGATTTTTCCATGATTCTGTGCTACAGCCAGAGGCAATTTTTATAGAAGTCAGGACGTTGCACAGCAAAGCAACTGGGCATTGACAAAGAGTGTTTGAGACTGCAGCTCCTGGTGATGCTAGAAACTGGATTTTGTAGGTGTAGATGAAGAAATCAGCACACAGCACTCACACAACCCCTGTCACCTGCACTCTGTCCCTCTCCAAAGTGTCACGGTTGCTCAGCAGTATCAACAAACATGTATTTAAATGGATTGAGTTACACAGGCAAAAGTCTAAATATTACCTTCCTGGAGGAAAGATGATTCACCTGATTTGAAGTAGATAATTTAATCTGAAGAGCTAAATTTATCTTTCCTCTGCAGCTAGATGAAATTATTGATGGGAAGGAGAATTTTCTTTCCAATTTTCAATCACTGCCTAAAATTGTTTAGATTATGATGTCTCAGAGGGCGAGTCTCTTCTGATGTAAATATGTTTTGACTGGAATTAACTCCTTAAGGCCAGGGAAGAAGCTCTGAAGAAGAAATGAAGTCGGGAGCAGGCCCTTGCTTTCCTCAAGAAGCTCCTGCTTATTTCTGTGCTGATATCTGCGGCTTGAGGTGATTCTGTTCTCACCTGGAGAGAAGCAAATATGGTGAGATTTCACTGAGGACATGTGAAATCAGTCTGGCTCCAGGGCTCTTCACCTCTGGTGGTGCTCTGGCTTTGAGACCCTCCAGGTCTTGTGGCAGCATTAAAGGAGGACACACTGGAGGTGTTTTGGGCACCGTTCAGGAGGAACTCGAGGCTTTACCCAAGATGAGCATGATTTGCTATAGAAACTTTATAAAAGGGACAAATCCCAGTTCTCTTGTTGGAATAATTCTTTTAAAATGCTTTTCAGAGGGAGTGCCTGTGCTTCAAAAAGCTTCAGTCCCTGTCCTGAGCAGACTTGACGTGTCGGTCTGGCAGCGGGCGTGGGCTCGGATGGAAACAGGAGCCATCTGTTAATGGTGCTTGGCACCCTTTGCTGTCCTCAGAACTTCCCATACAAGTCAAATTGGGGAGATTAACACATTGTGGTACAATTCCACTCGGGTCTACATCATCCTGCCTGGTTACTTCGATGTGGTACCTGGACCCCTTAGCCATCATCCCAAAATTCCTCCTCTTCTCTGTCAAAGCTGTGTGTGCCACTGAAGGCTGAATGAAGACTCTCCTTTTCTCTGTTCTTGCTGCTGCTGTACTTGGCACATGCTGAATGATTTATATTTTTGGCAAATCTGTAAAGCACTGGCAGATTTATATTTACAGCAGTGTTGTGTTAAAGGAAAGAGTTGTTAATTCTGGACAGATTAAACTCATGGTGATGAACAGCCAGGAATTATCTAATTCAGAATAGTATCTAATGGGAAGGACAAAGTCTGAAGTCCCACATATCTCTTGCATCCAGAGATGAAAGTGAAATATACCCTGGAGAGGACAGACCCTGTTCTTCCCCGTGGTCCTCTCAAGGACTAATTCCTGAGGGAGGAGAGCAGATCTGCCTCCTCTCCAGTGATCTGGCCACGCACACAAGGGAGCAGCCAACAGCTCCAGCCGAGGATGTGGGAGCCTTTGAATGAAAGGGTGGTTTCAGGGAATAAGAAACTTTTTACAAATGTCATGTGTGAAAGTTGCTGGCAAACAGAGACGAGCTCTCAGTGGGTTTGTGTCAGTGTTGCCTGGACTGTCATGCACAGGGCAGACAAAGCTGGAATAAATACTAACTTCTTCTGTGTAAATGTGATACTGCTGTGATGTGCCAAAATGACAACATCTGATGTTTTCACTCGAAACAGACGCAGTGTTGTTAGGAAAGATTTCCTTCTGCAGATGGGAAAACTCTCCCATTTCCAAGTCCCACTCTTTTCTAAAGTAAAGCTGAGGCCAGCACCAGTGGGGTTAGGAGCAGGGTTAGTGGTGCTGCAGCATAGAAGTCTCAGAAAGCAGGTGAAAGATTTTGCTGTCAAAGTGAAAGAGCCCAGTATACATTTTTAACAGCTGGGTCCTCCTGTAGTGGAATCAGAAAATAAACTTCTCTTTCTGTGGGATATGAGCCACGCTGGATCTGCTGGGTTTAGCTTGTGTTGAATGACTCCATCCCAAAGCCCCTGGGGGTTTGAATGAACTGGGATTCAGCGCTCTGGCTTTGGCTTGTGTCCAATGTTAACAGAGAAAAAGTATTCAGGGGCACCTCAGGCAGAAGCACCAAGTGAATTCTCCCTTTCTGCTTGCCAGGGTAAACCACAGATGCCGTGTAAAACCAGCACAGGGGCAGGACTGTGCCCAGTTCCACGGGTCAGAGATTTTCTCAGTTGCCTTCCTAACGCACAGGAGTCCTGTGCCAGCACTGTGCCACACTGTGGGGTTGTGACTGGGACCCCCCTGTACTGCTCATCCTGTAAGACTGGGGCAATTATCCCGGGGGATTTCTGGTTTGGGTTGGGGTTTTTTCTGGTTTTTTCTTTTTTTGTTGTTTTTTTTTTTTTTTCTTTAGTTGGGCCAGATGATTTCTTGGTACAACTGGATTCAAGGGGAAATTTGCATCCTTCCAAACATCACCCCCAAACCTGCCCCTCAAAACCTTTTGTTTACTCGTCTGTTGACCTATCCTGAGCTGGAATCAGCACCCCTTTTCCCCCTGAAGCACACACTGTGAGCAGACGACTGATGGTGAGAGTGAAAATCAGTGAGGCAAAGTGTTCCATCCCCGCGAAGGGATGGAACAAGGCACTAGGACCTAGGAGGCGTCTCATCCACCCTGGCAGGAATTTCTTGCTTGGAGCTCAGACAACAAAGGCAGAGTGAGCCTGGTTTTCTTTCTCTCAGCATCTCCACCCTGCGCGCTGAAAACCGGTGAGTAGAGCTTTCCCGAGCGACTTGCATGCAGAAAAGTAACAGAAAGGAGGAATCTTTTTCTCGGTGCATTACAGCATCTGCAGTTCATTTTAAAATCAAAAGCCCTGCATCCTCTGATTCATTCCCGAAGTTGCTTGGATGTTTCATTGTTCAGCGCATGACACCAGACTGAATCTGCCCCAGCTGGCACGGTGGGGGGAACGTTCCCAACTCGGGGTTTCTGTGGGGGTCGCCTGCATTGTCACCTGCCTCACTGCAGCCTGGCGACAACGATTTTTTCCTTGCATGGGTCACGTTGACATTGTAAAATACGGGGAAGGGGTTTCATTCTGGCGAGTGTGAAGGGCGGGGATGAGATAGCAACAGCTTTTCCTGGATTTATACCTGGCTGCCAAGTGCTGTAAATCCCATTTCAGCCCTGTGTTAACGTGCGAGCAGCATAACGTGAGGTGCATGTGCCTGGTGGGGCTGGGGGAGTGGAAGGGTCTCCACTGCAGGGTTGGGGGGGGGGATGTGGGGGGTTCCTTCTCCTTTTGTGTTGGGGTTTGGTGCAGGAGAAAGGTTTTTTCCTCGAGCATAAACTAGAGGCAGTGCGAAATTCCTGCTCGCAGGGTGTCAGCTCCAGCCTCGGCTTTTCTGTGCTGGAAGCCCCCGTGCTCAGAACAATGAAAGGTGAGGAGCAGGGGCGGCGTGTCCCTGGGGCACTTCCAGCTATTAAATCACTTAGGGCTGGAAGCTGGGAGGGGGGGGGGAGTGGAAATAGCCCCTTTATTTTCTCCTCCTCATTAAACGGGATGCAAAAATGCAGTTCAGAGGAGGCTCGGGCTGAAAAGAGCTTACCGAAGCTGCTGTTTCAATGACAGATTTTCCTTTGCAGTCATCTCTTCTTAGAGATGTAGGCTGGTCCTGGGAATTGATTGATGGGCTAGGAGGGGGCTGCGGATAGGGGGAAGGGTGGGCTGGATCTCATTGCTAACCCTTATTGAACAGGCTGTCACAAAGAAACTGCTTATTCCCCTGTGACCATTCTTTCATAAATGCCAGTTTATTCTAATGTTAAACATTCAGATGCTCTGGGTCCTTCCGTGATTCGGCAGATTGAAGGGCCGACTTACTGGGATCTCCTTGTTTTCTGTTGCCAAAGGAAACCTCACAGGGCTCAGAGGTTTAATTCATTGCCAACTGGTGTTCGGATGAGTTTTTTGGGGGCCGAGCTGTGATTGCCGCGTATCCCTTTGGCCCCAAGTCCCAATTTGCTGCACTTTGAAAACTCCCAGGTGCAGGAGCAGGCGGCTCTCTAGAAACGCGTTCCCTGCCCCCAGCAGTCGGATCCCTTTCAAAACGCGAGGACCCCTCCTACTCTCGGTCCCCAGAATCCATACAAATCTGGGTCAGGGGAGGGGGCGCTTCCCAAATGCATCTGTCCTGCTCCAGACACTGCCTCAGCGTCGTTCTGCTCTCCGGATTGTGGCTCTGCTGGGCTCTAACCCGTCCCTTTGCCCTCCTTCTCTCCCCATCTCCTTCCTGCCCAGCTTCAGATCTTTAGGGTTCACCAAGCTATGGAACTTGATTTTGGACACTTTGACGAAAGAGACAAGGCGTCCAGAAACATGCGAGGCACACGGATGAACGGCCTGCCCAGCCCCACTCACAGCGCTCACTGCAGCTTCTACAGAACCCGGACCTTACAGGCGCTGAGTAACGAGAAGAAAGCCAAGAAGGTTCGTTTCTATCGCAACGGGGACCGCTACTTCAAGGGGATTGTGTACGCCGTGTCCTCCGACCGCTTCCGAAGTTTCGATGCGCTCCTGGCGGACCTGACCCGGTCCCTGTCCGACAACATTAACCTGCCCCAGGGAGTGCGCTACATCTACACCATCGACGGCTCGAGGAAGATCGGCAGCATGGACGAGCTGGAGGAAGGTAATGGGCGAGCATCGCCGGCAGGACAGGGCAGGGATGGGCAGGGGAGGGCAGGGAAGGGCAGGGGAGGGGAGGG